CAGATGTACCCGTAGTTATCACTGTCAATACCACGGTCTGACTCCTCGAATGCATACCATCACCGTGTGTCATCTCCCCCGACGTCGGTTTGGTATATGAAATCGGCCTTTCGCACCACCAGGTGGGGTCGATCGCGGCAGGAGGGCGCTACGACAACCTCGTGGGAATGTTCTCGGCTTCGGGACAAACGCCTTGCGTCGGGGTGTCTATCGGCATCGAGCGCGTGCTGACTATCATGGAGAAGCGGCTCCAGGAAGAGAGGGGGGACAAGGGGGCGCCGTCGAATGTGCAGGTACGGTCGTTGGCGGTGCCTGACGTTGATTGTGCTGTCTGTTATATGGTCGATGGAGTTCGTGGTGCTTGTTGCTTCTTGCTGACGCTAGTTTAGCGGCGATGGAGGGGACTTCTCGGCAACATCGCCATAGTACGGCAGCAACGCATGCAGCAGGTAGCCAGCAGATCACGACGAGGTGATTCATGTCGTACCAGCCCCGAAGACGGTGCGGATCGCCGACTCTAGAATCGTAGTGCAATGTACGTTCGTTCCATCGAGAGAGCATCAGTCTCCAGTCGCTCAACAAATGGCCTGGTCTTCGCCGCTCATGTCGTCCAACGCTTAGAATAGGAAGAGACAAGCTGGCCGTTGTTTTCCATGAGCGACACTACTGTTTCGTGTCGAACCAATTCGAAAAATATTTCTTGAGTGATTTTGTCGCTTTCTCTTCCGGAATGTGTTGTCACCCCTCCCGAACACTCGTATTGTACGTGTGTGATACTCGTAGGTGTATGTAGCCTCGGTGGGTCCGGGATTGCTAGAAGAACGCATGCGTGTGGGGCGACTCTTGTGGTCGAACGACATCTCGGCGGAGTATTCCACGCTCGACAATCCCAAGTTCTCCAAGCAGATGAACGAGGTCAGTGTGCTAGGGATGTGGACGTTCTCTTGTGTTGCAGTCGATGTGTTTTATGTGTTTTATGTTTTCCGTCACAAGAGACTATCGTCGCGCGATTGGAAGAGTGCAGCTGCGGGACATGCTTGGACACGTTGGTGTACTCTGTACTGAGGAAGAACCGGCGACGCTTGTGCTCGAAATACTGAGCCCGTGAAGCTACTTTCGGGATAGCCTGTAGTACTTTCGTGTGCTTCGTCTCGCTATTTTTCTGGCTGCAGCTGTCTCAGTTACACACTGCGATCTACGTGTGCTTGTCATACGAATGACAAGCAATCGTATTCTACCACAAGAGAGAACAAGTAAGAGCCTACTGTACACTGCTGTATTCCATGCGTTTGGCCCCAAGAATATTGCCATGACCAGTCCAGAATACTATCGCCGCCAGTTGAACTTCCTGAAGACAAGTGTTGTAGGATATGCTGAAACTGTTTTGACGACATTGACTCTAGTTAGTGGCGACCACCCTCAATTTTGAGCAGGTTTTGCAGCGGGGAATCCCGTTCATGGTTATTCTTGGGGAGAAGGAGGTGCAGCAGGGGGTTGTCCAGCTTAAGGATATGACCAAGCACACGCAGGAGGTAAGAAGAGAGGAACGAGCCGCTCCCGAGCACGGCAAGAAGTACTAATCATTTGTAGCCGACACTGCCCATCCTGCCAAGCGTGCGATAGACTACATATATACCCGGCACTCCATTTCACCCGCCCAAGAGAGCGAATGTGCTACCTGCCGCGTGCTTCATGCGTCGACGTCAGCCATCACCGGGGGGCGTGCCAACAAGAAGAGAACATGTGTGGTGAACGCTTTTTTTCACCCGGGCACACAGTGCCGGCCCGCCCGCCAGAAACGTGTATGTTGAGCAAGAATGGAAGCGTTTCAGCAGTGTCTTAACGACTGATCAGTCTAACTCTAAGCTGCCGTGTACGAAGTGGTAAGAATTAGTGTGCTGCCGGCGGCTGAGCCCCAATTCATTTTCCCATTCTTATTACGTTCTCAGAAACCTAAGCCTCTTGGTGTTGGGAAAATGAACGGGCCGCAGTTATATTCTAAACACTACTGTTGCCTTTACTCAGGTATTATGCCAACCGTATACGTGACACACACGCGCGAGTAATTGGATAACCATGCTGTGGCGTAATAGTTGTTCGTGGCTGTCTGCATTAAATTGGATTCGTTGATGGGGTCCATCCATGATTTGCCGTGCGTACGATGGTATCGAGTCAAACGCGCTACAGCAAAATGAAGTGAACAAATCATCATTACAGACTAATGATATATTTGTCCATGTATATGGTCGCACAGCAGCACAATAGGACTTGGCCGTCCTAAGGCCGGGCACTTGGCACCATTTTAGGGTATAAGGCAACGTGTCCATTTCTTCTCTGTCGATTCATTTGCCGGGGCCTTGTACAGGGAGCCAGCCCTATGCATACCATACGGTGCTACGAATCTCTCGCCGTTGATTCCCTCCCACCTCCCTTCCTTCACCCGTTGTTCTTGCACGTGTTTGTCATGTTTGGGAACGTACCTGGTCCTCGGCAAACCTCCAGGACATGCGAAGAGAAGACGTGCCTCAAGCGCTCCTGGCGGCAGGGTGCACCCTTGTCACTCAACAAGCTGGACTCAGCTAAACAACGACAGTCCTTGTTGTTACTGTTATGAGTTGTTTTCAACCCGAATGACTATGTGTGGAAGGGTTACGTTTGACATCTGCGGTTGAATTTTTGTGTAACAGCAGCAGTTGTATTTCGCTACATTTTCCCGCAGATAGATGTCGAATATATGAATGTAGTTGTTGCGGGATCTTGACGTCAACGTATGTGTGCGTAGGTTGGGCCATCTATCCGGTGCCTCATCATGTGTAGGCCCGTGATCCCTTCTATGTGTCTGCCGAGTATCTCTAGGAGCTGAGGTATGTTTCTGGCACATGAACGTGTAGCCGATATATACTATGGTCAACGCAAGTGATTTCCACTCGGATGATCAACAAACCTGTGGCTTATAGCGACTGGTAAGGCTGTTGAACCCCTGTCTGTGTCCGCTTTGAAGTCCTGCGACGATGGTACCGCACTGCACAACGAGAAATCAAAGTTGGTGCGTGGCCTGCCTGTAGACTGGCTTCTCAGTGTTTTCATTTGATCTTTCCAGAGCGAACAGCTTAATAGCTGCTTGTGAAAATCTGGCAGTTCAATACTTACCGATCTCCTGCGTACTTGTCTTTCGTCGCTGCCCACCTGCGAGCACAAACATACTGTACACACTGTCAGTCTAAACATGATCACCCTCCTCATGGTATGAAGGGTAATAGAATGAACTGGATGGGACAGTGGCTGCCTGGTACTGTTGTTATCTGCACATCAAGGTTGGCGAGGAGTGGGGGGTGGAGTTATTCCCTCGATCAACGAAAGACAGGCGGGGGGGGAGTGTATGGTTTCGTGCGTTCTTGGTTTTTGGAACAGGGGGGGGGGAGACGGTAACAACGACAAAACATACCCATTATTGACCATCGAAGCAGCGGGGCAAAGGTACGCACAGACGACCGAGTTCCGATACCTGGGCGGCCTCGTCAACGAGCAGGGCGACCTTACCCGAGAGATCAACCACAGGAGCAAAGCAGCGTGGGCGTGCATTAAGCGATACGCCACGGAGCTCTTCGACCGACCGGGAGCACCGTTTCGCCTCAAAGCCCGCCTGCTCCAGGCGGAGGCAGTGGAGGCACTGCTATACGGCTGCATGACATGGTCCCCACGCCGCAACCACTACGGAATGCTGCAGACGACACACCACCGGCTACTCCTGCGAGTCATCGGCTACCGG